GACAGGGGCAATTCCAGCAGCAGCATCAGCAGTCTCTCTACCAGCCCATGTAGGGGCAGGCTGCTCAATCACAGCCGCGACCTTTCCAGCAGCCAAGTGCAGCCCCTGCCACCTCAGTGCAAAATGATCCGATGGCTGAACTGCGGGACTTGGTGGGCTCTCTCGCCAGTTCTAGTGCTCAGAAATTCAACACTATCGAGCAGTTCATGGAAAAGGCCTCGGGTAAATTCCTGAATCTTGAAGCTGGCCAGAGGAACACACAGGCTGTCTTGCAGGATATCCAAACCCAGCTGGGGAGTGTGGCTCAACCAGTGGCACAAATGGCTCCTGGTACTCTACCCGGTCAGACCATCCCTCATCCGCAGAACCCGAATGAGCACTGCAATGTTATCACAACCAGGAGTGGAAAGATGACTGCTGATCCACCTGTTTGGGCACAGGAGAGGGAGGCCCCTGCCTCGGCATCTCTAGTGACTGAAGAAGAAGCAGAGAAGGAGGTTGAGGTGCCTGCGCCTAACCCGCAACCAACATTGAAGGAGTATATCCCTCAACTCCCCTTCCCTACTCGGTTGCACAAAGATAGGTTGGAGGCAGAGTTTGGGAACTTCATGGCCATGCTTAGGAAGCTGAATGTCCAAGTACCTTTCCTGGAGGCACTATCTCAAATGCCTAAGTATGCGAAGTTCCTGAAGGATCTTCTCTCAAAGAAGCAGAAGCTGAGCGAGCTGGCCACTGTGGAGCTCAGCGAGGAGTGCTCGGCCATTCTACAAAACAAGCTTCCGCAGAAGCAGAAGGACCCAGGTAGTTTTACTATCCCGTGCTCTATAGAGAATTTGCATGTAGAGAGGTCCTTGGCGGATTTAGGTGCTAGTATCAATGTTATGCTGTATAAACTGTTCAAGAAACTAGGCCTAGGTGAACCCCGTGCTACTAGGATGAGCCTTCAATTAGCTGACCGATCTGTAGTGCATCCTAGGGGCATAGTGGAAGACCTTCTGGTTAAGGTTGGCAAATTCAATTATCCTGTAGATTTTGTTGTCTTGGACATCAATGAGGACACAGAAGTGCCCCTTATACTGGGAAGGCCTTTCCTGGCCACCACAAAGGCTCTCATAGATGTGCATGATGGGACCTTAGTTTTGAGGGATGGCGAGGAGAGAATAACGTTTTCAATTGCTAATACTCTTCTTGCTTCGTCACCTCTGTATGTTGTATCTCACCAGGAGCACGAGTCTGTCGTGTATCCTTCTGTGTTTCCTATTTTGCAGGATCCGCCTCCCATACCTTCGCCGCCACTCCTGTCCCCTCCGTCACCGAAAGAACAGATCAAGGAGGAGTGGCGGCCGAAACTGCAGGCAGCTAAGCCTGTCCGAAAGAAAGCCGGAGACCACTACGAGCTGGTCCCGCCCCCACCTTGGCCATCCAAGTATTCACTCGCTTGCATCCTGCTGGATGGCCAAGTTGAGTTGGCAAATGCTGGTGGCCACATTCGTCGTGTGCATGGCCACCATTTGAACCTGTACCTCAAGAGCGAGGTGGATCCGCTCTTGAAGGCACCTGCTCCTTCACCTCATTGAGCATCCACCGACTGGCGTCCAGCTAAAAGACGGTAAAGAAGCGCTTGTGGGGAGGCAACCCAACCTAGGTTTGCATTTTCTTACCTTTTTCCTTTTAATTTTTTGTGTTTTTTGAGTCTTGAGGGGTTGTTCATGAGTTGTATGTCGTTCTGGAGTGAAAACATGTCAATTTCGGAGTTCTGGCAGCCCACACGGCCAGCCCTGAAAGTCACACGGCCGTGTGGATTTGAGTTTTGGCCGTGCAAGCTCTCGTGAAATTCCACACGGCCAGTTGTGATTGTGACACGGCCGTGTGGAAATCCCCCTTGGCCGTGTGAGCTCTCGTCAAAAGTCACACGGCCAAATGTGCTGTTTGCACGGCCGTGTAGAAAATCCTCGGCCAGCCCGTGTCGGCCGACACGGGCAAAAGTGCAGCTCGCACGGCCGTGTGAACCTGGCCGTGTGGCCGATCCACGGCCTATAAATTCGGCCGACACGGCCGAGTGGTCAGAAAATCCCAATTCTCTCGCCGGAAACCTCTCCCCCTCGCCGGAAAACCGCGCCTTTTCGCCATCTTTGTCGATTTTTGGCCATTTTTGGTCGGTTTTTCACAAATCCAACACCACACCCACCCTTTCCTCCCCATTATCGGCCTATCCCTCGATTTTGAGGTGATTTGGTTTGATTTTGAGTCGCCGGAGGCGATTTCCGGCGAGACTCCGGCGAGACTCCGACGAGCACTTCCGGGCAGTTTTTCGGCCTTTCGTCGCTTCCATTGCATTCCCCTCATCATCCTTTACACCTCTACTTGAGTCTCCAGGTTTGATTTTGACCTTAACTATGTTTTTTATGGAGAATTGGGTGTTAGGGTGCATGTTTAGAGAACCTCTTTGAATCATGTGAATTGTGTGCAATTGATTGAGGGGAATGCTTGGATTATGTATGGATTGTGTTGGGAATTGTCCCCCTTGCTTGATTGAGCCCTTGTGTGCAAGAATTTTGTCCATTCCATGTTAATCTTAATAGTGCACACAAGGTGTTTGATAAAATGCCTGTTTTCGTACCATTTTGTGGGAGTCGGGTGGAGCCCTTAATGCTGTGCTTTGAGAGTGTGTTTGGTATGGATGTGAACCTTGAGTTGCCTACTTTTCCATGGATGTGCACCCCTACCCCGATTATGCTTGTTTGATCGATTTTTTGACCCCCGAACTATGGATGAAACCATGGTTCGGCTGTTTTCTGTTCTTAAGTGTGGGGGTGTGATTAACATTTTCCTTGGCTCTTTTGGTTCCACTTTGGGTTGTTCATTTACAGGACCATGACGATGCCCAACCTCCGGCACCAGTTTGTTCAAGATTTGAGAAGGGGCCCCCACCAGGATCGTTTTAAGAACGTCCTGGCCTGCAAGTTTGGGCAGCATCATTGCTGGTCCAAGCGAGAGTTGGAGAAGTTTAACTGCTACGAGCACCTCTCCCCCATTGTCACCAACCGCTACTGGAGCCGCCTACTCAGCATTCGCGAGAAGGTTTACCACGAGCTCGTGCTCGAGTTCTACACTACCTTCGAGCACGCAGACACGGAGGATTGGAAGGACGGTGAATCCGTCAAGTTCAGGCTCGACGGTGAACCACGATCCATGAGCTACACCGAGCTGGCGAACGCCCTCAGCCTCAACCTGGTCGATGACAGGGACTACATCACCGAGAGCACCGAGCCAGCGGGGGTGGACTTCGGAACACTGTACACCCGCCTCGCTCGGCCAGGTCAGCTTCCATTCAGGGCGGGGAAGACGAAGGCCAGCACATTGCAGCTCGACAACCGCATCCTCCATCACATGCTGGCCAAGTCTTACACTCCTGCCTCGGACAGTGCCAGCGCCATCACCAAGAGAGCCATGTACTTCATCCAGTCTATGCGCCAGAGGGATCATCCCCTCCACTTGGGCTCGGTGGTGGCGAGGACCTTCGACAAGAGTGCTTCTGAGCTGAAGAAACTCCACTGCACTCCCCTCATCACCCGCCTGGCATCCTACTTCCAGATATCCTTGCAGGGGTGCACCGAGTAGGGAGACACCAGTGCCTTTGGCCGGTTTACGATCAGTAAAATGCACCTGCTTCGAGAAGTGCGAGGTGTTATGTGGATCGAGGGATTTCCTCAACCTCAGATCCCAGAGGAGGTCCAGCCGGAGGTTCCAGAGGGTGCGGCTGATGAGGAGGTCCATCCCGAGGACGTGGATGATACTGCTGCCGCCCGCCCCACCACCTTCGAGTACGGGGGTGGCAGTTCCACCTTCCCCGGCCAGGACTACTTCACTCAGTAGTTCGAGCAGCTGCGTCTCCAGAATCAGCAGCTCTACGACTATCAGCTCCAGTTTTAGCAGCAGTATTCGGCTCACCATGCCAAGTACCAGACCCGGATGGCTGCGTATGATGAGCGCCTTGATAGGATGGAGACCCAGCAGGGGGTGACCTTGGTGCGCATCGAGAGAGAGCAGGCCCGAGCTAGGCGCATGAAGGAGGTCCAGGGGCATCTGCTCCAGCTGCTACCGGGCGAGCAGCCAGTCTGGAGGACTCCCTGGGAGGACTCTCCACTTCCACCTCCACCAGCTGATGATGATGATGCATTTATGAATGACATCGATTTGGACAACCTTGGCGACGAGTAGGCTGTACTTGTCGCCCCACAGTGTGTGTTTTGATTTAGACTTTTTCTGCTTGCTCCATGTGTTTGAGGAGCTTGAACTGAGTTTGTCGTGTGTTTTGTTTCTTTTTTTTTGTGGATTGTTTCTTTTGTGGCCATCTGGGCCAACTCTGATCCCTAACGAACATGTGCTAGTGTGTTCTTGATGTTCCCTTAGTGCAGAACTGTCCATTCGTTCCATATGTCCCACGCTGACTGGTCCACTTCCAGTCTCCCGCAACATTTCAATCCGGTAACATCGTTCCCCTTCTCTATCCCTCTGCTCCATTGAGGGCAATGTCATGCTTAAGTGTGGGGGGGGGGGGTGCTTTGTATCGGTTGGAATGTATATACGTGCGCTTGGAGCCTAGTCCGCTGTCCAAATCTCGAGATTTGAGGGCTCCAAGTACGGCTGTTTGATCATATTGGCACTGTGTTTTGATTGGTGAATTGAATGGTTTTCAGATTAATGCATGACAACTGGACGGTGATTAGGACTAGGGCTGGCCGTTCGGTTAGCGGTTACCGGTTAACCGGCCGGTTAAACCGATAACCGCCGGTTACTGGTTAACCGCCTAACCGAATATTAAGGTGTCGGGCGGTTGTCGGTAGCAGGTTCTATTGTGCCGGTTAACCGGCTAACCGACGGTTGTAACCGGCGGTTAACCGCCTAACCGGCCAGCTAACCGGCAAGTGAGAAACGACGCCGTTCTTCTGATAATCGACCCTCCTCTTCCCAACCTCCCCTGTTCAACCCTCTTCCCCTGTCCTAACCCTAATCGAATTATCGAATGCACTCTTCTCCTTTGCTGCCGAGTGCCGACTGCCATTCTCCTCCCTTCTCCCTCTCCGACCCTGAAGGGCGACGCCGGCGCCGCTCTACACCGTCGCCGCCCCATTCTCCCTTCTCCCTTCACTCCTTTGCTCGCGAGTCGCGACCCACCAACCGCCAGTCCGCCATCCAACCCGTCGGCGCCGCCACTCCTCTTCTCGCCGGTAACCCGATCGCCGATTCCCCCTTCCATGCAGTGAAATCGGCGGCATCGATGGCGGATGCGCCGATGTTGAGCACGCCGTGGCACCTCCCCAAAGGGTGGCGGATCTGGAGGGCGGTGAAGGAAGGGGTGTCCGCCGGGGGAGAGGAGAGGGAGAGGTTGCTGATGAGGAAGAGGACGGTGCCGACGAGGGAGTCGCGGAGGCAGCCAACGTAGATCTCGAGGGAGACCCCCGAGGTGTCGTTGGAGAGGAAATTGGGGTTGGCCCCGCCGACGCGGTCGACCTGGGTGCGGAGCTTGGCGGCGGAGTGGATCCAGACGCGACGTAGGTCTGCAATTGGCGGAGCTTGGCGGACGACGGCTTCAGGCCTTGGGCGGAGATCAAGTTTGGACTCCATGGCGGCAAGATTCGGGCGAATTGAAGAGAGGGGAAGAAAACCTTGGGAAGTGTTTAAGAGTCGGTCATGGCAGCTGGCAGGGGAACTTCTCCAACAGGGAAAGATTGGCGGTGGGTGAGAGTGAGGAGAACTGGAGAAGTAGGGTGAGCGGGTGAGGAAACCAAAAGTAACAAACCGGTTAACCGAGCAACTAACCGGTAACCGACCGGTCGGTTGTCGACTAACCGAAGCATTCACTCGGTCGGCTGACGGTAGCCTTTCTCCCTGTATCGGTTAACCGGCATTTCGGTTATCGGTTATAACCGAACTAACCGAAATGTCAGCCCTAATTAGGACAACCAATAATGATGACTGAGACGTGCAGTGGAGTTGTGTAGGGTTCAGTTTTTCAACTGTTTGCTTACCAACTGTGACTTGAATTGATTACTTGTTCTTGACAGTCTCTTATGCATCTAGTTTAGGGATCAGAATGAGAGATAGAGCATATAGGTAGCCATGTGAGATTTGAGCCTGCTCGTTTCTTTCTTGTGCGATAGTTCCCTCTTCCATGATGTGTAGCATTCACGTTGTCATTAGCTAAGATGATGGAGGCATAGGATTAGCCCACGACCAAATTGACTGTCCTGGTGTGTCATACCCCCTAGTCACCCCTTTGAGCCGTGTGTTATCCTTTCTTTCGGTCTTCAATGAAAAGTCACCCTTTTGCATCTTTTAGAAGGTTCCACAGAGTGATTTTTACATGTTATCTGTTGTTTCTGCTAAATGTAATGTGAGAGTTGGAGGTAGTTCTGAAAAAGTTGGGCAGGTGTTTGAAAATGTGCAGAGGTGGTGGTTCTCTTAAGAAATGAAAAAAATGAAAGAAAAACAAAGAAAAAATGAAAGCAAAAGTGAGCCACCACCAAAAATCTGAATAGTTCCCATTAAGTAGTGTTTCTTAGCAGTCTGGCTTAGAAATACTGGTATTTATGAGACCTCCTTCGCTCTTATGCTCTGAATTTGAGTAATGCAGAATAGCAGAAAGAAAGTACTGGTTTGATTGACTGTGAGTTTGGAATTGTGGAACCTTGTGCTATGAATACTTCCACCACCTAAAAGGTCTTTTCCCCACGTCCAAGACCCTAGCCAGTCATTTGAACCTGTGTCTAAGACCTCCGGATTAGTTAGTGATGACAACCATTTTTGTGAACTCTAACCTTTAGAGGCTGCCGTCATGGTGAAGAGATGTTAGGAATTGAGAGAATTAGTATGCGCATTTTTCGCATCAAATTGTCCTGACCCCACTGGTCGAGAGTGAGCGATTCATTTCCTTTTTCTTTACACTCTTTACCCGGTGAGGACCTAGATGGCTCGGTCTTGATTCTGATGTCTTGAGTTTTATGCATGAGTTGATTGTCTTGAATGAGTGATTGAGCCAAGTCTGGGTTGGTTGATGAACAGTAGGGAGACTCCTCCTTTACTCGATTTTGCTGCACTCGAATGTCGTCTGTGGTGGTTGTCCAGGTTGCTGTTGAGGTTGTTCATGTGTTGATGTTTGAAAGCCAGTATGATTCACGTGTTATGTGCCTATATGATTTGTCCCCAATGTTGGTTGATTGAAATATGTGAGCTGACCTTGTGTCTGACTTGGTTTGCTTGGGGACAAGCAAACGGTTAAGTGTGGGGGAGTTTGATAAGCCGTTAATTGCACATGTCTTTACCCCTATTCCGGAGCCGTTTGAGGTGTTGATTCTCGTGTTTTAGGCCGATTTCACGCTAGGTTGTGTTTGTTTGTGATATTTCAGGTCAGCAAGTGAATGAAGGTTTAGGAGTGAGTTCGGGGTCGATTGGACGAAGATCAGGCGTGAGGCAAGTCAAAAAGGAAGCCACACGGGCACACAGAAACCACACGACCGTGCAAGTGACCAATTTGGCCGTGTGGGATTGTGCGAGCCTTCACACGGGCACAAGTAAAATCCACACGGCCGTGTGAAGTTGCAATTTGGCCGTGTGGAATTCTGCGAGGCTTCACACGGCCAGGCTGGGTGAGCCACACGGCCGTGTGGCCCTGGCCGTGTGGGAAGCCTGAAACTCAATTACTCGGAACGCGGCGTTTTGACATCACACGGGCAACTGGGTATGCCACACGGCCGTGTGAGCCTGCTCGTGTGAGTCGGGAATTTCTGGTTTTTACCCAATTTCGGGCTGCAAGTGGGAGAATCGGATTTTTAGAGCAAAAACAGAGCCCTAGAGAGAGAAAGTACGAAGAACACATCCTAGAAGCTATCTTGGAGCTGGGTTTCATCAAATCGAGCTTGGAGATCGTCATAGGAGTGGAAATCATCATCCCAGAGCAGATTCTTCACATTGATATGAGTATGACTGCTTTGTATTCTGTTTTCCCCTCTCTCTCTATGGAGTAGAAACCTTCTCTCACTTGGGTATGAAGAACCTTAGTTCCATGTGTTAGGGATTTGATTGTAATGACTTGGGATGATATTACTGCTTGGTTTTAATCGAATGATGCATGTTTATTGAGTCAATTGAAGTCTGATCAGCTTTTCCTGATTTCTGCTGCAACCTGAGATAGATAGAATCTGATTAGGTTGTTAGAGCCTCATCATTCGGTAGTAGGAGATTGGCTATACGAGAGTTAGCCAGTTTACTGCTTTGTACTGGAATCCAATTCCAGTAGTGGAGTTCTGTGCTTATTGCTTCAGCTTTCTATCCCGGTGAAGACTAGTCGTCTGCCGGGTAGTTAGACTGAGAGGGCTTGGTCAGCTTAAGAGATTCCAAGCTACTGTCGGATCTTCCGCAGTCTAATCAACAATAAATCAACCCAGGGAAATTACAATTGAAACCTAACTAAGGAGCTAGGGGGACTCATTCCCAAGTGACTCTTCTTTGCTTGAGAAAACCATACCAATTCCGGCTTTCTTTCTGCTTTTGCTTAAAACAACAAACACTTAACTTAGTTGGCTAGATAATAGATACTCACGGAGTAAGCAGTAGATCTAGACCCCGGGTTGATAATAGAACATGCCACTTTACTGCATTCCCGGACTGCGATTATACTTGGTCGCAGTTTGGTGTTGTGTTTTGGCGTGTCAGTTCCGCCTCGCAAGATCTCGTCACAGGAACAGGAACAGGTGGCCGATATGTTTACTAAAGGGTTGGGTGTAGACAAGTTATCGTACCTGAATTCCAAGCTTGGCCTTCATGATATTCACGCCTGCGCTTGAGGGGGCGTGTTACGGGACTCATACGTGCATGGCTGGTACACGTGTGCGATAGTCCTTGTTTGTTAGGTTCCTTATATTTGGGAGCCAATTAGTATTTTGTCATTCCTAGTTGTTTGTTGTAAAGGAATGACTTCATATATATATATATATATGGCAAAGGCTAGCGTACGTCAGTCGTACGCTGTACACCTGTGTTCACACTTGATTTTTGCACTTTAATATATTTTGCTGAATCAGAACCGTCGGTTATTATTTTTTAGATTAAAATATACCATGTAAATCGTTGTGTTCTTGCTTTTCTTTTCTTGAGTTTTAGCACTCCCGCTCCTGCACCCTGGCGACGTAAGTTAGAAGCTTTAATATCGAAAATATTGAATTAAAAGTTTGACATCATAACCACACGATTAGACTTATATAACCATTTTGTGTTAATTGTAATAATTTTAAGTCATTTAGTGCTTTAGGGGTCATCAACTTCATGGATTTGGATATGTAATTCAAGGAACTCATTGTTTGCTTACAATACTTTTGGATATTGAATTCATAGAATCCACAAATATTTAGAGACACCATAAATTCGTAAATCCGAATATATGTAGGTGTGAGGTGTTGAATATGACCTCTCAAACCCTTCATTTCCAAATTCAACAAGCAAACCAACCCTTAATTAGTTGCGTCAAGGAAAGAACCTATTAGAAGTTTTTCTTCTTACTGATGATGTGGGAATAGAGCTCGTCATAAGATCACTAAATGCAGAAGAGGTTAAATTTGCTGCTGTATGCGGCGAACAAACCAGAAACAGAGTTTGCCTCTGTTTTTCTTTTCTTCTGTTGTCAAATGGATTAATAGAGAAGCAACGAAAAAGGGATAGGAACGAGAGAAGAGGGAGTCTAGAGATGGATGGATTAAAAAGGGGGAAGGAAAACTGTCCAGTTGGAAGGCTAGTTTCTGTACGTGGCGAGTACCATGCATAAAAATCCAACAGCTGTCCTAACATGGCTCCAAACCGTCTCTTCCCACCTTCATCTATAACACATCCACTTCTCATCCATGCAAGCACCCTCCCTCTCTCTCCCACCCTTCTCTCTTCCGCCTCTTCGTTTGCTTCTCAACATTCTTAGTTGTTTGATGCTTCAAACCCATTTGAATTGTGCATTGAGAGCTTAATTGTGGAGAGGAATTCGGAAATCATGCCTCGAAGATACGCTTTCGGGAGGGCGGATGAGGCCACCCACCCTGATTCCATCAGAGCCACTCTGGCAGAGCTTGTGTCTACTTTCATCTTTGTGTTTGCAGGGGAAGGCTCTGTTCTTGCTCTTGGTAAAATTAGTATTCATCTTAGAAGTCGTTGATGTTTTTGTTGTTCTTGATCTGATTTTTGGTGTAATATGGGAGCATTTGTTGGGGTTTTGGTTACGCACCAGACAAGCTGTACAAGGAAACCGGGCCACCGGCTTCTGGTCTGGTGATGATCGCGCTGGCACATGCGCTGGCGCTGTTTGCAGCTGTGGCAGCTAGCATCAACGTCTCCGGTGGACATGTCAATCCAGCTGTTACCTTTGCTGCCCTAGTTGGAGGAAGGATCTCGGTCGTCCGGGCTATCTATTACTGGGTTGCTCAGATCCTCGGCTCCATCATTGCTTCTCTCTTGCTCCGTCTCGTCACAAACGGCATGGTAATGTATCTTAAACCTTTACTCTCGACCTATTGGCAACCAAGTTAAACCTGCTTGGACGAGTGTTCTGATTTCGGTACCCTTTACTAATTTTGACTGATCTCTTTGCGCAGAGGCCAGTTGGGTTCTATGTGACGTCTGGCGTGGGCGAGCTGCACGGGCTGATACTGGAGATTGTGCTGACATTTGGGCTGGTGTATGTCGTCTACGCCACGGCCATTGATCCCAAGAGAGGGAGTTTGGGGATCATGGCACCGCTGGCGATTGGGCTGATAGTCGGGGCGAACATCTTGGTTGGTGGCCCATTTGATGGTGCGGCAATGAACCCAGCAAGAGCGTTTGGACCATCGTTGGTGGGATGGAGATGGAAGAACCATTGGATCTACTGGCTGGGTCCTTTCCTCGGCGGAGGATTGGCCGCGATCATCTACGAGTACATGGTGATCCCCACCGAGCCACCGCTTCATACCCATCACCAACCCTTGGCTCCAGAAGACTACTAAGTTTACTACCATTTCTGTTGGGTGTCTACTGTTTCATGGATCTCAAGGAGTTGTAAAGCAGCAAGCTTTTCTGCATACTGTGTTCTTTTTTCCCTCTTTTTTCTTTTCGCTGAAGAACTGAGACTGTAATTTTAGTGTTCTGTTCATTGTCAATGTCATTGTCATGTGTCTTTGTTCAATCTTGTGATGGAAATAAAATGTGTCATCTTTGTTTTCTTCTCATTTACAACAGCATATGAATTACAAAAGAATTATTCGTCCACCAATTATAGCATTTTTGGTTTACACAACAAATCAGCAGGTTTCTGGGATGAACCTGGGGCGGTGGAGGAATGAATCATCAGCTAGCTATGGTCGTCTGCTTGTAAAACCTGGCAACCCAAGGAGCGAGTTGGGTGTCATGAGGTGTCCTCGGGTTGGCAGCGTAATAATCCGACCAAAAACAAGGCGACAACTGATCAGTAAATTCGCCATCGGCATATATACAGAAGGGCAACCAGCTCTCGCCTCCGTTCATCCTCCTTTTCCTTTCTCTTGGGTAAGCCAGTGGCGACTGAACGTACCTGTGGTTTACACAACAGGACACCACATAATCAAACGTGAGAATCCAGTGATGAACATAACCTATGTTCATTCATTCAACCCAACTAACTCTATGAACGCTTGTTTAGATGGTCATATTCAAGATTGGATATTTTTCTCTTATTCTGGAACAGAAATATGCCACAAATGGGCAAGAACAGCAAGCACTATTCAAGAAACAAACCAAAAGGCAGTATCTTTCCTCGAATTCTCGAGCATCACATCCCCGTGCAGTATACTCCTTACCTATCGAATCTTAATTTTCGATTTATTCAGCTGAGAAATGTAAAGACGTACCTGATACCATCAAGCGTGGCGTCCCAAACAAAATGTGTATGACCAAACACATGGCATGCGTATTGGCTCCCCTCAGTTCCATGGATTGACCTGATCCGGTCTTCCAGGCTATCTGAGCCGATGACTTTGGGGAGATTCGGATAGAAAAGCATTCTCTTCTCTGGACATAGCTCTTGCCTGGAAGAGAGTGAACAATGCACAGGAACAACAACGCTTAGCCATCAACATACTATCATCTTTCAAGCTTCAACGTATCATGGAAAATTGAGGTACAGCACAATATGGGCTAACCTAGGAACAAAGTGAGAGAACGTGATCATATGGCTACAAGTGGTCTGAATCATCTTGATTTTCTCCTCATTTCCCTTGTTCATTGCATCAAAATGTAGAGACAGGGACTCGTCTCTCCTGGATAGCTCCTCTGGCCATTTACATGCATGGTAGTCTTTGCATGCCTTGAGAAGAAACAATCAAACATCAAGCAAGTCAGATATTTATTACTCTCTTTCAGTAAGCAGACAGTCATGATCATTGGACAGGCTGAGTTCCTTGGAACCAGTTTGTGAGGAAGTGAAGCAAGTCTGTTTACTTTCTTCACTACCCTTGTAGGCTAGGTGTACTTCTATTTAGCGTTTGGTGTTGCTAGATCATTCATTAATGAATAGACTAGTGCAACAACTCACTGCATCTGAGTTTCATATCTTCTGCATTCGGTTAGACACTGCTGGTCACTATTCTAGTACTGTAGATTCAATATTAGCTAAGACAACTACATGATCTAAACATTGGGACCATTGATCTGTAGCAAAGATTAGAATCCACAAGTAGGCATCGCCAATTCCATAAGAATGACTACACCAGGGACAGACATGCTCACAAACATGCCATCACCAACCGGGGAACATCACCACTAAAACGTTTGTGGTTCTATAAAGAAACTAAGCATCGCACAGTTCCAAGATAGATAATCCGTATCAAGCAGCATGCAATCCTAATGATATATTGTTACTGGAATACGAGTTCTCTGTAACCCTTACTAGGAGAAGAGAAAGTAAATCACCATCTCCAGGGGTGGAATTCTGTAGCCAGTAATGTTGATTTCTTTGTCGAAACTCTGCAAATGCAAGAGGTTCAATCAGTACAAAAAAAACAAGCAGGCAGTCAACCATCTGTTCTTCATAGGGCCAAAATTACAATGACTTCATCATTTCAAAAATCACTTCAATCAGTTAAATACCTCATGATACCAGGAGAGCAGAGGAATGATTCCAAGCCCATTAATGACCATAGGCTGGGTCTCCACTCCAAGCCCTCTACAAGCACCAAGCAATTTATTCAGCTTTTCAAGAGAATCATGCTGAAAGAAGAACAGTCACATTTCTGCATTTAGATTATTACCCACTAGCAGAGAAGACTAGCAAGCCTCAATTCTCAGAACCAAATGCAAATTCTTTACAGCATCTAAAGAAAAGCATACTCGAGATCTAGTCAATCAGCTTGAAAATCAATAGACGGAAAATAAAGTTTCCTTACATAACCCTCTCCTTCCCGCCGGCACCAGAGATCATGATTTCCCGGTGTAAAGAAAACATGCCCGAATTTCTCCTTCAAAAGCGCCATGGTCAAGTAGAAATTCTGGTACGTCTCCGCTACATCGCCGGCCACGATAAGGACATCTTTCCGATGCTTGCTGGCAGACAAGCACTCGACCCATTTCATGTTCTCGCGGTAATCGGTGTGCAAATCGGAGAGCGCGAACACCCGGAATTCCGAATGATTCCAGGAATCAGTAGGGCGTACTTCAGCCCTTTTGATGCACGATCTTCTTAAATCTCTCGGTCTTGTCGGAAGCAGCGCGTCCCCTCGTAGATGGCAAGGATTGCTAGATTGCTGAGGTACGCCCCCGCAATAAGGGAAAGGTCGAACTACCATGCTTGGATTGACGAAAATGAGTGTGGAGAGCAGAGAAATTGGGCTTTTCTCCTCCTGCCGCCGGAGATAGTATGGGATTCCAGGGAGGAAATTCAGAAGGGGGCGGCGAAGGAGGGTCAATCAGCGCCTTCACAGGGTTCTCGTCGAATTGTTTTCAGACAGCGACCCAGCACGAAGTTTAAACGCCAAGAAGACGAATGGAAGCGCAAACGTGGGCCGACAGAAACCATTGTTCGAGCCGGCCCGTTTTATTAAAGGGATGGGTTTTAACTTTTATGTGATAGAGCAAAATGTTCACTTTGGATCCACAACAACAGACAATTACAACTATAACTCTCAATCTTTTGTAAATTGTCATATTTATATTTCGGCTTAATTGCAAGTTTGGTCACTCGAATTGCTAAAAAGTTTCACGTTTGCCACTCAAATTGATTTATTCCATTTATAGTCACTCGAATTAGTTGAACAGTCCAAGTTCGGTCACTCTCCGTTAACCTCCGTTAGACTCCGTTAATGACGACCGTTAAGTGATGACGTGGCTAACAGAAAATCACAATCAGCATATTTTAACATAAAAAAATGACGACCCGACCCGCCACGTCATATTTACCCGCCCTGTCAGCCATTTTTGCCCAACCCGCAAACCAACCCAATTAATTGATGCTATGTCAGAGATCACGTCAGATGAAGATATACTCGCCATGTCAACAAGTGCAAATGAAGAAGCGAGGGTCATCGAACTATATGCCAGGGCGGGTAAATATGACGTGGCGGGTCGGGTCCTCGTTTTTTTATGTTAAAATATGTTGACTGTGATTTTCTGTTAGCCATGTCATCACGTCTAACGAAGGTTAACGGAGAGTGACCGAACTTGGACTGTTCAACTAATTCGAGTGACTATAAATGGAATAAATCAATTTGACTGACAAACGTGAATTTTTTTAGCAATTCGACTATTCGAGTGACCAAACTTGCAATTAAGCCTTTATATTTCGTACTTTCAATAATGTCACATATATCCCAAATCTTAGTAAAAATATATATTGTTGTTTGAGCCAAATCGTCTCGAATCAAGAATCCCTCTCCCAACCAACACTTGAGTTCCCTCGGATGCGCTTAAAGCCTGCAAGGATGGGCACACATGGGCCTGGATGGCCCATTAGCACTCCGACGCACAAGTTAGCCGAGCTTTGTAGAGAGATAAGTAACAAGAGAAACTTAGTGAGAGAATCCAACAAGTTTAAATGCCACCTACCGAGCACTATTTAAGTATTTATACTCATCGAGGTTCCGACCAAACTCCTAAAGTTTAGCCCTACGTCAGCAGAGCATTAAATGCCTGGTACGGCCCAATGTCTAGGCGCCTATACGTGGCACTATCTCGATCCTTCTGTCAGGGGCGCCCAACGGAGACCAAACCACACATGTGGCAGCCATTTAGTCCGTTTTCTCCGTACTAAATTGTCCTCAAGCCCTATTTTGTCGCTATGCGCCCTCCTTCCACAGGTCTGCCCTAATGGTCTTTTTTCCACTTTAGTCCACACTATTTTGGGCTTCCAAATGTGTCTGGGCCCAACTGAGTTTGACACCCTTCTGTGTGCCTATTCACATTGCCCCAACAATTGTTGTTGTGTGTTTTTAACTCACTTGGCTATCTTTCTCAAATTAAGAAATCCTCTATGTACGTTGGTGTGTTTATCATTAGAATAAAGCCTATCTAGTATTTGTTACATCTATCATTTCATTTCCGACTTAATGTTGCGCTTACACTTTATCATGGTAACGAATTTCATGGGCATAAAAGTTCATTTCTCAATAAAGGCCAACAATGGCTGGACTCGTAATTTTTTTTAGTGGTGTCCTTTTCCAAATATTAGATTCACTTAATAATGAAATTTTCTAAAATAATACATAATTTCTAAAAAAAAAATGCTAAAAATTTAAAATAGTTAACCTAATTAAATTAAAAAGTCTCCCGAATACTAAGTTCCTATTGGTTAGACATCAATGTTATTTTCCTAACAATACTTATATAGTTTGTTGTTCCTCAAACCAAACTAGAAAAAATCTAAATGTTTTCCAAATAAACTGCTAAAATTATTTTTAATATAAGAAGTCTTTTCTCATTTATTCCTTGTTCCTCTCTCACCACAAGTATCATGAAGCAGATCACAAAATATAGACTATAAACACAACAAATCATACCACACAGCCACAAAATCCATAAAAACAGACAAGAAAACTCAAAGTTTAGCGCAAGTTTTTCAAAACATACAACAAACCTCATAAGGCAACCACAAGTTTCCTGAAGTAGACCAGAAATCTCATAAAGCAGATCACACGTTCCCTGAAACAGACCAGAACAAGTTTTTTTAAGCAAACCAGAAATATGTTCAAGCACACGATAACTCTCATGAAGCAGACCAAAAAGACAAGAAAACACACGAAAAATTTCACAAAGCAAACTAGAAACGCTATAAAAGATGACAAGTAATAAATAATTTTTATAATGGGGAAATAATTATTTTATAAGGGTAATTATTTTATACAAGCAACCTGTCGAGTTTCTTTTTGACGGAGAGAGAAGTGGAGGACATGATCCAGGAGGCGGAGTTGACGATAGGGTGGAGTAACTACTAAATATGTTAGTATGGTGCCAACACTGAGAAAAAAATTATGCGTATAGATGAAGGTTAGACGATAGGCTAGGCTGTATTATTAACTTACTATATAAATAAAAGCTGTTAAAAGAAAACACCATAGTTTTATTTGACCGAGGCTTTTCCCACATGGTTTGGATGATAGCAACCAAATATTTGTCACATAGTTATGAAGAAGATTAACAAGTTCTTAAAACTCTTCCTTTTGGATATCCTTTATTATATGAGTTTTGATATCATCTGTATGGGCTCTAATCGAAAATTAATATTCGATCATTAACAATAATCATTGAATGACAAGATGAATGGACGAAAAGAGACAAAGCAAAATAACATGCGTTCTTAATGCTTGCACAACGTAACATAAAGAAGTTAATAATTGAAATGACTAGCCTAAGCCTGGGGATCATCTTTTTATATATCCGTTGTATATATAGAACCGGTGGGCTAGCTTTAGCTTAGTCCGCCACCAATTCATCAGCTTCTTCTTCTTCTTCTTCATCCCTTTTCTCTAGCTTCTTGAACCCAATAATTATAATCGTCACTGTCTGGATAATAATAATTTACATGGCCCCAACTCATCGCCATACATCTGCGACGCTGCTGCTTCATTTCTTTGCCGCCGTCGTGATCTTAAGCGGCGGTGGAAGTGTTGATGCCGGCGGGAGAGAGGTTCGGTTGGGAAGGAGGAATCTTATTTCCAATGGACTTGGTCGTACGCCACCTATGGGGTAAATTAATTAACTTCTCTTTGTTTCATTAATTTACAGTTGCAATTAGTTACTGTCATACTACATGAAAAAAGAAACTTAATTGCTAGCTGGATTCTGGCTCAACATTAATGGTGGTATGGCAATCAGATGGAATAGTTGGAACCATTTCCACTGCAATATTGAAGAGCATTTGATCAGGGAAACAGGTAAAAATTGTAACTTTATGTGTAATCGCTCTTCATTTCAATCCAAAGGTACCCTTTTTACACTTTCTTGGCTGTTTTTGTGGTCTTCCTTTGGTTTAGCGGACGCTATGGTTTCAACTGGACTCGCCGCATTAGGATATCAATACATCAACTTGGGTAAATCATATTTTAATATCTAAATGATCCTAGTGTAACTTGATATTTCCCCCAAAATACAAAAATTGTTTAAGAAAATTCTAGCTATACATAACATAATTTACACACAAATTTCTTAAAATACACAAGTTGGATTAGATCTTTGTAGTATTCAACGATTTTGGTGCAAGATTATTGGAGTCCAAATCGATTTTACTCAAATCACCACCAATAGAATCAGATTTAGCTGAATCGCGCCGTACCCAGGGAAACTTTTTTCATTCTGCATAACTTTTCAACGACCAAAATTTTTGCTACGAGAATTTTTTTAAAAGAGGTAATCTTTTTGAATTTTATGGGTTTTAAAGATAATTTTATATTTAATATGCACTTTCAACATATATTCTAAAAATTGTCTCTAACAAAAGTTGTAGTACTTGAAAACTTATGCGAAATAAAATAAAAATTTGCCTCGATTTGACGACAAAGCACAAAATTATGACTATCAAAAAGTTTAGCGAAATCCCAAAATGGTCCATTTGGGATAACAAATGACTTATATAGAGATGAAAGTGGACCAAAGCCCTCGACTGTTTGTTACTACGAGGATCTTGAATAGTTATGTGAAATCAACTTTTTTCATTGATCAGGGTGATTGCTAAATCTCTTTGCCTAGTAGCAAATTTGCTGAAATCGTTGTAGTTGGCAGCGATCTGCGACAAACTCGCTGGACTTTTGCAAACGATCTGCAACAAAATCATTGACTAATATTGCAATGATCTAATAATAATAAAAAAAATATATTGCAACGATCTAGTCCTAACTTCTAAATTTTTGCAAACTTTTGTGTAAGCTATGTATAATGAGAATTTTGTTAACAAGTTTAGTATTTTGGGGGAAAATCCTATTGTAACTATATAAGGCTTCCTGTCTCATTTATAGTTATAATGTCCTTATTTCTTCACATTATTGTTGCTAATTGCTTTCTCTTTTTCACACACTGTCCACTTATGCCAACTAGATGATTGTTGGGCTGAGCTTAACAGAGATTCTCAGGTAACAAGTTTCCGGGCACAATCTACATTCTCTAGGATTTAGAGTAGCATTGAGAGTGATACACATTTATATCTAACTAGATACGGTTATCGCGTTTTGCTGCAATTAGGAGGTCTATAACTTTAGTTTATGAGTAGTTGGATTGAGTATTAATCGTCATGTGTTTTATTTTCTTTTGATATTTTTTTAATACTTAACTCTCTATGAAATTTGCTAAAAATACAATTTTGGAACCAAAATTTGAAATTTTATAAAAATTATTGTTAAGTGTTATTAAATTTTTGGTTGTCCTTCAATGCGAACAACCAACCTTTTTGATGTAGTGCTTTATTGGCTGACATGAATGTCACATTTTTGTCATGCATAATATGTAAAAATTCATTTGATATCTAGTATGCGTACTAAATTAGGGTAAAACTCTTGGTATTGTAGTATTATGTAGCCATATTTTTTACTATTTATTTAATGTTTCACTTATTCAACACATATAAAATGTTCAATCCACGTAATTTAAGGAATTGAATTGATGATTTATTGATTATATATTTGTTAGTACATTTTATTTGGGAATCTCTAGTATTTCTTAACTAATATGAAACTTTTAAATGTACAGTTATGTGAAAATGACATAAAAACACTCCGTATTTATTATTCCCGTAAAGTACTTGTATCATATTTTATTTACTATGGTGCTACGTCACCCAACATAATTTTCTTTAAAAATAATTGTTAGTTCTTTTTGAAATGTACAAAATAAATATTTTTCTAAATAAAAATATCCTACCCAATATCAAAACGGTACAAATCTCGTTCTTTCATTAATTGAGTGATGGTAAGATGACATATAGTTTCCTTCCACTCCTATTAACCAAACAGAATATTAAAAACTAATTTAAAAGTAATCAATCTAGAAAGACTTCTGAAAAAGAAAAAAAGAAAAAAAACATACCCTACAAAAGTTCAAGTCCCCAAATAACACAACCCAATTGAAGATCACATTTTTTAGCTTTGTAAGAAAAAGTATAAAAAATGCCATCCTACAAACGCCCAAGAGCCAAGGCCATGAATAACACACCCCATTTTATTAGTGAACAGTAAAACTTGTTTACGTTTATATATATTAACTAGAAGGAAAAAAACCCGCACCATGCTGCGGCCCATGTACTAAACATATTTAAAAACCTCATCAACCATACATTTATTTATAGAAAGGCCCGGTTCTCTTTGAAAATGGTTGTCACGCTAGTGGAATGCCGGCCGGTTGAATCTGGTTAATTCGGTACATGTAATGAAATGAGTGTGAACATCATTGGTATGAATGGTATGATCAATTTACGAATTCTAAAAAAATGATGTTGTTGTAATGAATTCAATTAATAAAAAATAATTTATTATTTATTTTATGAATTTAAATGTTAATATTATTTGTTTCTTTCAAGTATAAAAGTTTAGATATTGTCTTTAAATATTCTATTTACATATGAGTATTTATTATCTTATTTATAATACAATATTGTATTTTATTTTATTTTAATATGAACATAAATTATAAGTAAATTGTTTTATATATGATTAAATTGATTTGATAATTTCTATATATTTTTACTAAATCAACATGAACTGATGACACAAATCAGTTCTCCATCAATCAAATCATTTCACTTGCTAAACCAACACCGACACTGTTTGACAATCTTAATTATGAATCTTTTCCAGAGACATGCGGCCCTTTTCCTCTCACCTTTTCCCCCTTTCCCACTCTTCAATTTTGCGGCCATTTCAGGAGTGATTTACTGATTTTGTAGAAATGGGATTACATATTCAGCTAAAAGAATGACCACGGTTTGAACCCAACCAAAGCCCAAACCCTAAGCCCACGGGTTGAAGTCCAACCGAGCATATTCAACTAAAACTGACCCCACCATAAACACTCTCTTAGGCAACAGTAAACCAGATTTAACTTTATATAATATAATAACTAGATTGGGATCGCACTTTGTGGCTAAAATGCTCAACTTGCGTTTTTGTGATTTCACGTTAAGATTTGAATCCTTTTATGATGGTGTATATGTGATGGTAATTATTTAGTGATAATCCTTTATTTGAAACGTATGCATAAATTTGAAATTCATGTATAATTGTGGAAAGTTTTAGTCCGAGTTAGAAGAATCGAAAAGAATAAAAAGTGGTACTCAGTTTAAAATAACAACTACTATTAAATAGAAAAATATATTTTTTGAATTGAACCAAGCGTTGAACTAAAAAAGTAAGTGATTCATGGTTCAATTGTTCCTTGCTATAGACCTATTGGTGAATGGTTTAAACTTTAAATAATTAGTTACACTTATAAATAAGAATACATATAGATATAATATACTAATTAGGGTTGCACAAATAAGGCAAAGACGAAAATAAAAAAAATGAAGATTAAGGACAACTGAGGAAGTAACGATAAATCATTATGGTATTAGTTAGTTTTTCATATCTCCACTTCCCATGATATTCAACCCGATTCTTGTGTTAATATGAACATGGATAAAAACTAAATTATTTGAGTAGTATAATGAATATATGAACATTGTATAATATAATACTTTTCCTCTCATCATGTAATCAAAGCAATTTAAGCGGATAAAAGTAGTGAAAATTAGCCGCACACTTATTAATTAATTAATGTGAAATTGAATATGCATGGCACCTAACAGGGGAATCTAGTTCCTAAAGCTTCAACATTTCCATCTGGAATCAAGGGTCTGGCAGATTATGTCCATTCCAAAGGCCTCAAACTTGGAATTTACTCCGATGCTGGGTATATATTACGTACATATATATATATATATATATATATATGTAACTGTGTTCTTCATACTCAATTACCCTTCCTTTCAAATCCAACGAACATTGATGAGCCAAATCCTGTATATGTGGATGCAGGAACCAGACATGTAGCAAGAAAATGCCAGGATCGCTAGACCATGAAGAACAAGACGCTAAAACTTTCGCTTCCTGGGTAAACCCTTTCGCCATCTATTAACCCCTTAGCTACCCTCCTCCACCGAAATTACTTTCATTTTTACCCTCCTTTGTCACAATGACAGGGAATCGACTACTTGAAGTATGATAATTGTAACGACGATGGCACGAGTCCGAAAATCAGGTGTGTTACAGTGAGTGTGCGTGATATGTACAATCAAATCCAAATTTGCATAGTTATGTTCCTATGTGATTAAGCTGCAGTGGGTGTCTCTTTGATTGATCAGATACCCAGTGATGAACAAGGCACTAATGAGGACTGGAAGACCTATCTTCTTCTCTCTATGTGAATGGTAACTAGAGAATTACTGTTGCTAGAATCAGGATTCAGGAACCCTCTGTAATCAAGATTCCGATTTCGGTTAATTTATGGCCTAATTTTGTTGGTTCTCAGGGGTGTGGAGGACCCTGCAACTTGGGCCAGCGGCATAGGAAATAGCTGGAGGACAACAGGGGACATCAATGATACTTGGGAAAGGTACCAACCCCTAATGAACAAAAATGTTTTCAGAACTGGGTTACAAACACCATAGGGTACTTAATCTTTGTTATTTTCTTCAACCAGAATGACGAAACGTGCCGATACGAACGATCGATGGGCAGCTTATGCTGCTCCAGGAGGCTGGAATGGTACCTTGCAAGCATTCTAATATAAAGTTTGTCAGTTGTCACCTTGATTCACCGGTACTGTTTTGTTAATTTTATACTAGTTAATGCTAACAGATCCAGATATGCTTGAAGTTGGGAACGGAGGGATGACAACAGACGAATACCGATCACATTTCAGCATATGGGCTCTCGCCAAAGCTCCTCTGCTTATCGGGTGCGACGTTCGGTCCATGAGCAAAGAAACTTATGAGATTCTAACCAATAGCGAAGTGATTGCGGTGAACCAAGGTACAACATGTTGATTCATGGTGTTTATGTTTCGTTTTCGAAGATCAGGAAACTAATGAAAATGGGGTTTCTTCCTACGCCACTCAGATCAACTTGGAGTGCAGGGGAAGAAGGTTAAGAAGGATGGAGACCTAGAGGTATGGGCTGGTCCGCTCAGCAAAAACAGAGTGGCGTTGGTGCTGTGGAACAGAGGTTCTTCCCCTGCGACGGTTACTGCACAAATGGCCGACGTTGGTCTCTCTCCGTCCACCATTGTTGATGTCAGAGATTTATGGGCTGTGAGATCTCTGTCATGCGATTCAATCTATTCTTGATTAAGAAATTTCGGTTTTAGATAATCCGATGATTAAGACAGTGATAAACTGGTCTTTTTTGTGCAGCACTCGACGTTGGCATCAGTGACGGGACCAATTTCGGCGTACTTGATGCCTCATGGTAGTATGATGTTTGTACTCACTCCCAAGTCATAAGCAATAAGCATATCTAATGGGATTCCTCAACAATAAGGACTACATAACTGGCTCGCCTTTGTGGTTGAGAGTCTTCTTTCTATGTTATAGATCGAGGGTAATCAGTTTTAAGTTGCACTTGACTTTGTTAGTAGTTCTCATTTTGGTAACTCACGGTTTTTCTTTATCATCCAACAATACCACGATTTGGTACTTCCGAATAATTTTAGGGTGTATTTGGATACGGGGATATCAAAGGAATTTTGTTTAAAGTAGCACGGTTACTAACAACAATTCTCACAATGCTAAACTTAGGGACGATGATTTAACGTTAAATTGCTCCAGGGATAAGTAATAAACCTTAGTCGTGTTGGAGGCTAGTGATTCATTCATTTCAGTGGACACGGATCGCGCCTCAGCTGCGTGATTTAGGTCACGTAACATCTTATCTCAGAGTTTAGAAGCATTTTAACGAGATTGTTGGGATTAGTGGTTTCTCACTCTTCATTTAGGTGGATGCAGATCAATGTCGAGTCACACGATTTTTGTTGTGTGTCATTCAACGTGCGGCTCCCTCGCATTATGCACATATCCATAGGGTTGGCAGTGATCTCAACCGCGAGGCTGCCACACCTTTAATCAATAAATAACTATCCATTCCTTTATGATAACTACCCAACCACACAGGAAAAGGCATCAGCAAACAAATGCCATACCGCTGAGGAAAAGGGCTGCATCTCAAACCAAAATTCAAAAAATGCATGAGAGAGGGAAGCTGCAGATTTCTGAGAAGTAGGCGATTCTTCAGATGATGAAGCCAATGATCCGCTAAGGCTCGGTCAACTTTGCCGCCAGCAGTGAGCCAGCAAGAATATCCCTAACAATTCTAAAACAAAGAGTACTTGACGATTCATTCTCCTCCCGAGAAATCCTATCATTCCTTTCAAGCCAAACTCTCTAGCAGAAAGCGTGAAGGGCCACCTTAGTGCACCAGTCAGATTCTCTAGTGCAACTGACTGAGGAAAGTGCATATGTCGTTTAAGGGTAGTATATTAGCAACCAATGTCGTATCTCTCAAAGACGATGAATACTAGCAATTAGCTCTACAAATGTTATCTAATCATCCCTTTTTAAGAAAATTATTTAAAAAAATTAAATTAACTAACAGACAAACACAATATAAATATGATATTCTTTCCCAGAAGTTTATGATGTGCTTTCGAAAATCGTTGTGTTGTTTACATTTCTCAGCAAGCTCTTCTCTTCTCGTTGTGTGCTATGTTTCTTATTTATGGAACTCTGTTCAACCTGGAAAGCTTGAGAGGAAGATGAGAAGCAATTCTCAATTGCATATCCCCGTAGCTTCCAAAGGCTTCAGTTCTTTAAAGCTCATCTTTTTCATTTAACGAGTGTTAATTTGTTATTGGGCCCAAGGCCTTTTAAGCCCAATCAAGGAGCATTGAAACTTGACGAGTGAACCCTCACTTCGTCTTCTTCCATTCTTTATTTTTCATTTCAGTTCCCTTTCCTGCTTTGTTGTTTCAATCGTCGAAATTCCTAAATTCATTCTCCGACTCTTTTTACAACTAGTAATTCTTCGGCAAATGGGTCGACGTCGAGATCGTGGGAGAGGCGGGACCTGAGTGCAGATTGAGAGTGGCCGAATTGCAGGTGAGAGATGAGGTAGATTTTTTTTTCTGTGGCTTTCCAAGGCCGATCCAGATGCCAGCAAAGACTGCGGCGACCAGTGAAGTGGAGAGAGGGCCGACGGTGGGGGGTTTGGATTTCACATTGATTGTGGCCGAACAGAAGGTGGGAGATGAGGAGAGCTTCGTTGGGCAGAGAAGTCGCCGGGAGGGAATTCATGGGTCGGATTTGAGAGTGGCAAAAAGGAGGGGCGGTGATTCCGATTCCAGATTGCGGTTGGGAAGCATCGCCGATTTAGATTTCCGATTGAGGTTTGGGCGATACCACCAACAGAACTGATATTCAGTTTCGGGTAGGAGACTGGAAAAACAGGGGCCAAAACTTTTTGGGGACACCGCCAATGGCCATGCATCCCTCCCTGGAGGTGTTTGGGCTTTATGGGGTTGATTTTCGCAGTCGCCAACAACTTGAACTTGCTGCTTACATTGTCATGGCTGCGCCGTCGTTGAGGCAAGTCGTGATCGATATCGGCGTTAGAGTCCAGCGTTCCTACCGGCGGCGAAGAAGAGCACACAGGAGGAGAAGTCGTCAGCTTTGGAGGAGAGCGTACCGAGGAGAAGCCGTCAATGAGGAAGAGGGATATGGTATGAGAGGAGATCGAGAGAGGGCGGTTGCCTGCTAGGGTGTTGTTATACTATCCAGGCCCATACTCAAATAAGACAACAAAATGAGAAAATAAGAGGGATCTCTTTTAAGTTTAGATTAGTCCTTTATAATGTGCCATAACTATTGTGTACAAGGTTGTCAAACCGCGGGTTGACCCGGATCCGGTTGAGCTAGTGGGTCAAGGGTTTATGGGTCACCCGGTTTAGCCCGGAAATATGGAAAGTGTCATTATATTGTACTTATCCTGATAAATTATATCAAATCTCATCTAACAAATGAGTTATAGCATATAATATTACACCAAAATAACATTTCGTACTTAGATTCAACATATAGTGAAAATTCACACACACTTATATAACATTAATATTCAAATGTTCAACTTAGGATTCCAAAGATTGAGTTAGGTGAAAAGAAAAATCAGTAAATAGGCGCATTTCGCAAAACAAAGAAAAAAATGACACAATTTGACCTCCAACCCGGTACCTTGTAACGGTCGACCCAGCGGGTGCGTGCGGTCTGTTTTTCTCACGGGTTCAAGGTCAAAGTGGGTCAACCCGCGGGTTGACAACGTTGATTGTGTACAATCATGGTATAATAAATAATGGGGTTAATTACATGGTTGGTCACTGAGATTACAAAAAACGTTCATGTTTGGTCACTGTAAATATTTAAATCCAATCTTGATCACTCAAATTAGTTAAATGGTTCAAGTTTGGTCACTCTTCGTTACCTTCTGTTATTTTCTGTTAACACCGTCAGTTATTTGCTGACGTGGCTAACAGAAATGCTGATTCACCCAATTTAAATTATAAAAAAATAAAATCCGACCCGCACAGTCAGCAAAACCCGCCACATAAGTTACCCACCACAACCCGTGACCCAAGTACCCAACCCTTCCACTTCACCCTAATTACTCAACTTCCTCCTCTTCCTCTGCCCTCGCCGCTGCCGGGTCCCCGCAGCTGTCGTCGTCTGCAACTCTTTCTCCACCTTAATCGATCGCCGCGCATCAACTCATCCGACCCTACATGGAAGCCATTCCTCTGCCTCTCAGCACGTTAAGCTTCTCAATTACATCTGCACAACACACAAAAGCTCATCAATTTTTAAAGTAAAGAGAGCGAAGACAACACCGAAAATGAGAGATGCAGACGCAGATCTCTGAGGTATAGGCCGTCTGGCGATGAGAGAGGCACTTCAATGAAATTAGGATGCTCGAGCTGGCGATTCCGGCAGAGATAGAAAACGATGACAACCTTGTGATGTTGCTGGTGGTACTTAGGCGACCTCTCCGTCCACTCTTTGGACTGATCCGGACTATCCGTCCTGTACTTCTTCATTCTCGCCTCCATTCCCACCACATCCAAACCCTAACTGCCCCCAACAATCCCAATTATTGCACGCCAGTACAACCTCACCAGCTCTCCCCCTATACCTCTCCACTAGCTAAAAGTAGAACAAGGACCAAATCAGAATCCGCCATTCCAGCACGGATGTAGGGCCGGATGAGATGGAGAAGGAGTCGCCGGCGACGACAGCGACGAGGACCCGGCGGCGGCGAGGGCAGAGGAAGAGGAGAAAGTTGAGGAATTAGGGTGGAGTGGAAGGGTTGAGGAATTAGGTGACGGGTTGGGGTGAGTAACTGATATGGCGGGTTTTGCTGATTGTACTGGTCAGGTTTTATTTTTTATAATTTTAATTGGGTGAATCAGCACTTCTGTTAGCCAAGTCAGCAAATAACTGACGGTGTTAACAGAAACTGATGGAAGGTAACGGAGAGTGACCAAACTTGAACCATTTAACTAATTTGAGTGATCAAAATTGGATTTAAATATTTTCAGTGACCAAACATGAACGTTTTTTGTAATATCAATGACCAACCATGCAATTAACCTATAAATAATGCATATTATCATTTCAGATATTTATATTAAATATTGCTTTCGGTAATACTACAAATCTATAATTGAAGTATTAAATCTTGATCTCGGTTAAGATGTCAATACCATTTGACAATTATCATAACTTATTATAAATAAGAGACAAAACAGAGGGAGGTTATAATCGAAACAACCCTTCTTGTAAATTGATTATACTATTATTAGACAGTGTCCTCCTAATATTTTCCACAAGTTTTGTATACTCTTAAAGAAAGAAATTAACGAGCCTAATTGGCCTTTTCTTTCTGGCAGATTTCCAAGAATAAAGTATCTGCTGAAATTAGTACTTAGTTCACATTTACCCTGTGATGGGAAAATGAGATTAAACCAATGAAGAAATTAGGCAGGAGAAATGATGAGAATTGCGTAAGATGATAGGTCTATTAACTATTATGGTGTAAAAAACAATGGAGCATTCTCTATAATTGGTCTATAAAAGAGAAGGAAACTTCAATCTCCTCTCCACACATAAAATCACATATACTCAGTACTGTCATTATTCCCATTTTAATTAGTCCTCCTCCCTCCTAAGAAATAAGAATAAGGGTTGTACGTTCTCATGAACAGTAACATGGAACCTCGTCGTGTTCGGCCGGTAATGGCTCTTATTCTTATAATTAGCGTGTTGATTATTATGGTTAGTGTTGGTGCGGTGGAGGAAGGTGCATTTAATTCGAGTCAACGGCTGAAATTGAGGAGAAACCTTTTGGCTAACGGATTGGGTCGCACCCCACCTATGGGGTAACTCATCCTTCTCCATCCATCCATCTTAAATTTCAGTACACTCGTTTTTGTTAAGCAAAATCAAAGGACGAATTTATGGAATATATAACCGGTTTTTTTTTCCCTAATGAGTTTGCATAAAACTGCTTATATATGGGTTTGATCTTATAATAGTATACCTGATTTAATCGACATCAAAGTTTTCAGGTAGCGGAAATCCCAATTTCATAAATTTATTTGTCTACTTTATGTTTTGCACGTTTTCAATTATGATTTGTGAGCTTTAAAAATTAAAATCACGTCATTAATAATAATATTGTTTTTATGTAGGCTTATTTAATACAGTAATATATAATAAACTCATATTCTAACTTTGAGACTAATAATCATCTAAACTACTAATTAATGAATTTATTTTTTGTGGCATGTGGAGCAGATGGAACACTTATAACCATTTCCACTGGAAAATTTCAGAGCATTTGATTAAGGAAACAGGTGATCAATCAATAACTCTAAACAACCTATTAATTATGGGGTTAATAAACTTAATTTCTTTACTATTTATAACTATAAATCTTCCTTAGTTAATTTTTTTTTTTTTTTGTCACTTGCAGCGGATGCTATGGTTTCATCAGGACTTGCTGCATTAGGTTATCGTTACATCAATTTGGGTATTATATGTAACTTCCCTAATATTTGTGATGACATATATATGCTCCTTTAAGATTGTCAATATTTGAAGTACTGAGACCTTGACTTCACTGGACTCTCATTAATTATCTTATTATCTCTGGTAATTAGATGATGCCTGGGCTGAACCGAATAGAGACGGCAAGGTACAAATTAATTAAACTTGTGAGATTATGATTATATATGTGTTATTTTGTTGAAGCGATAAGGGAAAGAATAATTAATTAACGGTTGCGTGCGATGGGTGTGTACGTAGGGGAATTTGGTTGGCAGTGCTTCGAGCTTTCCTTCTGGAATGAAGGCGTTGGCAGATTATGTACATCACAAAGGCCTTAAACTTGGAATTTACTCTGATGCCGGGTACGTATCCATATAATTAATTATCTCTTTCTGCTATATGAATTAATATATATATATATTGCAGAACAATGTGATAATTCGTATATATATAGGACAATGACGTGCAGCAAGAAACAACCAGGATCATTAGGTCACGAACAACAAGATGCTAAAACTTTTGCTTCTTGGGTTCGTGCATATATATCATACCCTAATCTCGTTTAATTTCTACCTTGATGGATTCAGTTAACCATTATTTTTATTTTATCTTATTTCAGGGAATAGATTTCTTGAAATACGATAATTGCCACGCCAATAACATAAGCCCGAAAAAGAGGTACTTTTCCCTCCCCCAAATGCGCAATAGCAGAGTAACTTGTAGTTGAGGAGGAGCTATACTTACTTTCCCTGGCCATTATTTGATTTTAGATTCAAATATATATATATATATATATATAGTATACTAAATACATGTTCAAAATTAAGAGTATGATAGATTATCATCGCCCCCTCCTCCAAAACTTTAATTCAATCTTAAGAGACTATATATAATTTATAAAAAAAAAAAATGCAGGTACCCGATAATGAGTAAAGCGTTAAAGAGTTCGGGAAGGGCTATCTTCTTTTCAATGTGTGAATGGTAATTAAAAATCGACTACTACTGTTATTAATTGTTATGGCCTCTTATTCTTATATATATATGTATATCCCTCCCTGAATCTGTGTGTTCACTGAGGCAAATTAAACAACGTACGCCGGCAGCAATTATCTTACATGTTTGGTTGTACGTTTTAGGGGTAAAGAAGATCCTGCAACTTGGGCAAAGACAGTTGGGAATAGTTGGAGAACAACAGGGGACATCGGTGATAATTGGCACAGGTACATCCCTCACACTAACTAACTACTTATATTTATTTATATCATCACCTTAATTATACCGTTTCTCTCCTCATAAAATTTTCATTAAGTCTGTATTTGGGTACGAGGATTTGTGTATAAAAATGAATGTAGATACTAAATCATTTATTTGAATATCAAGTCTGTATCACAACTACCATACATATGTGGATTTCGAAATATATATGTCAACAAACAAATTGCATTCAAATTGCGTCTGAATTTTACATTGCGTTTTTATCCATCCAAAATGGGGCAAATAGTCCTTTTGAGTTAATCATATGATATACTTAATTATTATTTTCCCTTCTAACTCCCTTTTTTCTCTTCTTCTTCTTTCTTAGCATGATTTCTCGTGCCGATACTAATGACAAGTGGGCATCTTATGCTGGACCTGGAGGCTGGAATGGTAATTCCACGAATAAGAGTGTTTTTTGTAATATTTAATGAATTCACTTTTATCCAACCATTGGTCGTATGAATTTTCTTTTAATCGCCAATATTTTTCTTCTTTCTTTTCGATCGGATGGTACGGTTGTGTGGATGGACAGATCCTGATATGCTTGAAGTTGGGAATGGAGGGATGAGCTTCCTGGAATATCGTTCACATTTCAGCTTATGGGCAATAGCCAAGGCAATTTTATAATTATAATAATTTATAATAGTCAGAATACATTCCATTTAACGTGAAAATTTTATTAACTACATATATTTCAAAGTAAAAATATTGACATCATGTGTCTCTTTGAAACTCGTACGTAAATACATGCAGGCTCCCCTGATACTTGGGTGCGATATCCGATCAATGAGCGCTGATACCCGCAAAATCTTAAGTAATAGGGAAGTCATTGCAGTCAACCAAGGTAACTTCTCCTCTTGATTTTTACCATGCATTAATGGGATTTGTAGCATTTTGGAATTCACTAATATGTAGATGCTATTTTGTGACGTTCAGATAAACTGGGAGTGCAGGGGAAAAAGGTTAAAAAGAAGGGCGATCTTGAGGTCCATTTTTCACTTCAATAATTAATAACCTTAAAAACTCGAAATGCTTGTACAATTTACTTTAACTAGTCCTTTTATTGGGCCATTTGTACAGTACAGGTTTGGGCGGGTCCTTTGAGCGGGAAGAGGGTTGCAGTGTTGCTGTTGAACAGAGGGAACTCCGTAGCCACAATAACTGCACGATTGTCCGACATTGGCCTCCACAACGACGCCGTCTTCCATGCAAGAGATCTTTGGAAGGTGAGATCTGATTAGGTGTTTCTTCCCTAGCTAATTCGTTTCGATTAGAAAAAAAAATACAAACAACACTTATTATATTAATGCTGACAAATGTATCTCTCTGCTCGATCTAATTAATTAATGTGGCTGGCAGCACTTAACGATTGCATCGGTGAAGGGAGAAATCTCAGCTAAAGTGAGATCTCATTCCTGTAAGATGTATGTCCTCAGTCCCAACTAAAACCTGAACTAGGAATCGCCGGCGGCCGAACGAAAGGGTCAATCGCATACTTGTTTTTGTTTTGTTTCTTTTTGGACGAATAAAATTCCACTGTTTCTCCTTGCCAGAGAGCAAAGAATTGTAGCTCCTTAATTACTAGAAATGTGCATATGGTAGTGTCAGTGTGTCTAGCTAGTGGGAAAGAATAAAGTTGGCAAACTCTACAGGTTCAGTAGCCTTTTGGTAATTTGTAAGGCTAAATTACACGTTTGGTCACTCAAATTATATAAAATTTTCACGCCTGCCACGAAAATCACTTTTCTTTCTTATTCGCCACTAACTTTGTGAATCGTTTCACCGTTAATTACTGACTGTTAGACACCGTTAACACCGTCAACTTTTTGATGATGTGGCAAACGGGAATGCTAACTGGACCGTTATCTAATGACGTGCCAATTTTTATAAAAAAATAAAAATACAAGTTTAAATAACTACTTTTCTTTCCATTTTCCACCTCTTGTTTCCACCTCACCATCACAAAATTGCCTCCCATGCCGACATCGGCGATGACATCGAAGGAGGAGACGGCAGCGTTGGGGTTGCCGGATTTGAGACGGAGGAAGGACTCTGGCGGTGGGAAGCAGCGGGAGTTACAACAAACAAGGGAAGATCTTGCCGGTGGATCTCGCATGTCCATTTTCTACCTCCATACTCTATTCTTCTTCTTTGTCTTCTTCGATCTTCATTTTATATGGGAAAAAGATCTCCCGCTATATAGCTTGTTAAAGGAGTTTTATAGAAAAAGCCAGGGGAATGCCTCAGCCCAGCCCCACATAGCATCAAATCAAACCCAAATCCAAATTCACATCCTTAATCCTTTCATGTTCTAGTGGAACGCACACAACATGTTCGATCTATTTCCCCAAAGAAACTAAAAGGTAAAAACATAGACACATCACACCTCTGGATATAAACCAGAAGGAATAGATCTACAAAAGTGTCCCACAACTAGCGAGTGAAAGCGTAGAGAACCAGGGAAGAGTAGATCAAGATAGCAACAAAAACAAAAGGGACGACTGCGGCATAATTAAGTGTGGGAGCTGCCGCATCCTAAGCTCCCAAGCTTGAATTGAACAACAATAACCAAAGCCAACATCAGAAAGACACACCCAAAAGCAGGTTTGATGTAGGAGATGAGCATTTCGATATGGAAGAGATTCTAGTTGACCTGGCCCAAGAACTCGACGGGGAGATGGAAAGGTTGCTTTGGGTGATGGAGTAACCGGGGTCCGGGAGATCGGAATGGCCAGCCTGAGAGAACGCGACCAAATTGGAGAAGAGGAAACAGCTGAAGGAGTAGACATGGAAGGAGATGAGAGCCTCGCCGACGCTACGACTGGCTGTTTAAGCTGGATCGGTGATTATTGTTCTTTCGATGAGGCATTTTCTTGATGGTGAGGTGTAAAGATGAGGTGGGAAATGGAAAGAAAAATAGTTAATTAAAATTGTATTTTTTTAATTGACACGTCATCGGTTAACGGTCCAGTCAGCAGTTTCGTTTACCACGTCATCAAAAAGTTGACGGTGCTAACGGATCCTAACGGTTAGTGACTAACAGTGAAACTATTTGTAAAGTTAGTGGCGAATAAGAAGGAAAAGTGATTCAGGTGGCAAACGTGAAAAATTTATGTAATTGGAGTGACCAAACGTGTAATTTAGCCTAAGTTGTAATGTTAAACCTCGTTGCTCAAAGAAAGGTACTTCTTTACTAGAAATATGCATTAGGTTAATTACTTCAACAGTTAGTTAAATTATCTCCCACCAGAGGTGGTATGCTTATGACACCCATCATCACCTGAGGTTCGCTCCTCCATACTTAGTCAATTTTACCCCATCTTGCCACATCAATAATTCAATATGGATATCAGGTAACCAACCTCTCATCACATCAGGAGGCTACTCCATACCTAGTCAATTATACACCACCCACCACCTTATTGCACTAGGGACATTGATCGATAACCCCCTCATCACCATTATGAGGGGTACATGGATTGAACCCCCGGTCATGGTCCTCCATATTTAGCCAATTTATATATCATCTCTGCACTTTTACGATCCTCCTATCACATTAGCTAGGGTGGGTATTGTAACACCTTAGGCAAATCCCACATCGACAAAGCACCGGAGAGATCCATGGTTCATAAGTAGGAGTTCTTATGAGAACTCCAAAGTTAAACGTACTCAGTGCGAAGTACAACAAGAATGAGTGACCTTATAATAAGTCACATTGAATTGCACCCAAGTCGAAAACCGTGAGGGTGGAGGCCCATACTTATCCAATTTTTTATTCCAGCTTATTGCACTAGAAGGTACACTAATAAACCCCTCATTGTCATACCAGGAGTATGTGAAAATACCCCCAATCATATGAGGGGGCCTCGCCACACTTAATCAAATTTTGGAGTGTATGGCGCACTAGGGTGCCACATGTGTAATGGCATGGGCCTAAGTGTCCAATCCATGCGCCACATCTTAATTTCTTTCACTTGCATGTGCGTAGTAGTTATATGATAATTACAATTTGTTTATTTCAAAATATACCAAAATGGGTATTATTGTTAATTTCAATTTGCTTATTTCAAAAAATTGAAAAATATAAACTATTTTATGTCCGCTCCAAATACCTATCCTAGATCGCTTCTAGAGCTTCATATTTATTTAAAATGAGGATAATCAAAATCTGAAAACTCTAGTATATAAGAGTCGTACAAGATGTGTTGAAGTATGTATATCATTATGTAATTATTTGGGTAGCATATTGCAATTATCCGGGTTAGGGTTAGGGAGCTACAGTCGTATATATATGTTTCATGGCTGTTATGTAAGGGTGAACAAACACGTGAATAAGAATCTCCAGTCGCCGTTCTCCGTGGACTAGTCCCAACGATCACCATTGGGGAAACCACGTTACTTTGTGTGTCTCGTGTTCATCGTGATTGCGTATAGATTGACAAGATGTAGATTGTGGATAGATGCAGAAGTTATGCGCATTGTCCGTCGCGAGCACGAAACCGTAATTGCATTAGAAAATTGAGCTGCAGAGTGCCGACGCCAAAATGTATAGGTTTCCCGCTAATTTGCTAAATGCTAGAAGAGATGGGAAAGAAAACGAAAAAGAAAACGAAGTGAAAAGTAATCCCTGCTACTTGATACTAGGGGTGGGCACGTGGGTGGTTAATCCGCGAATTGATATCGATGCACCCGCAAATAACCCGACCCACAAGCAGTGGGTGGTTGATGTGGGTGGATTGCGGATTGATAAATCTTCCACCCGCACTTATGTTGGTGGATGGTGGGTGGATTGCGACTTTCACATGACAAAAATGTAGTTTTGACTACTATTATAGTATTATTGGTTATTGTGTTGTGTCATTTTCATTAGATATTGGATATTGGAATGTAAATTATTGTTAATATCCATTAAATATTGGGATGCAAAATTTAAATTATTAAATTTAGCAAAATAACAAAATGCGTAAGTTTTCTCTACACAATTGGTTGATAGAGTAGTAAAAAATTTTATGCAAAAACTACATGGGTTCATTTGAGACAAAGTGATAAGTGTTAAAATTGATATTGTCTTACTAATTTACCATGAACTTATTATAAATGTTAGTCAACTTTCTTAATAACTAGTTGACGAATTATTTTGCGGGTTAACCCACGATCCTACCGCACTCATCCGCGATCCACCCAACCCGACCCGCAGAAGAATGTGGATGAATTGCGAGTCACAATTATTCCAACTCGCTAGTAAGCGGGTGGATCAATTTAAAACGAAAACCCGCCCAACCCGCCCATTGCCCACCCCTGCTTGATACTTGTTTATCAATTAATTTTCTTGGATTTATGACATGATTAGCCCGCCAATACCTACACTCACATAATCTCTTACAATAGTCCATGGCCGATGTGAAGAATCATTTTTCTCCCAGAAAATGACAATAGAGAAAGAAGTGTTCTGACGTCTCCGATCCACCATGTGAGAAAATTATATTATCAAATTTATTGGGCAAGTGATATTTTTCCAAACAATCTTATAAATTGAATTTCTTTGCATTTTAGATTAAAATGGTGACATAAATTAGTAAGACATAAATTAGAAGTGTTATGTTAATCATAATCTCACCATTATCACCCAAAAAAAAAACCCCCCATTAGAAAAACATTGTTCCTTTTGTTTTCATGTGCTGGTAGGTTGTCCGTCAACACCCAAGTGCACCTTGTTTTGGTTAATTAAGTAATGATAGTTGACAAAATCCGAAAGGGGATTGAATTATAGGAGAAATCGAACAGTCTGCAACAAGATATGCTGCCGGCCTACTGTGGTCAGATCGAGAATAGAGTAAGCAAGAGGTGTTGGAAATATATTGTGGTTTATGGGATAATAATTGTATTAGTTATTTGTTAAAGTGGGCTAATTATAAGTGGTCAAATTATGGAGCCCAAGACTACTCAATATCTTATATGGGCCCAATAAGTGGAAACCAGATACTAAATAGGGGTGGCAACGGGGTGGATCGGGGCCGGGTATCCTGGATCCGTTGCCCACCCACCATGGGCCTCGGGTATCCCCGTCCCCGGCCCAAACGGACTTGCGGGCCTGGTTGGATAACCATCTCCGTCCCCAATGGTTAATCGGGTGCCCGCGGGTCTATAATACCCGCTACCAAACCATGAAAATAAAGATGAAAATGACAAAAAAATTCTGGAAACTGGACACTTTATTCATATTGACTGGTCTGTTAAAAAGACCTGAAATAAACAACTGAAAGCTTGCCAAGCAGCTCAGCAACAACAACCAAAAACAACATATGTTTCGTGTTTGTGATAGAAATTATCAAATCAAATGAACCAAACAACCAAAAAGAAAGACGTTCCCAAAATTCTAAATGTCTAATTCTTATCCAAAAACAGTAGACTGAAATAGTTCAAGCAACAGCAACGCAACAACATTC